GCGCGGCGGCGGCGGGAGAGCGGGCGAGAAGGGCGGCAATCTCGCTCGGCGGCGGCAAATGATCCGACGGCTGCGACCCTTCGGCTTCCAACAGATCCCAAACAGGGACGGCATCGATGACGTCAGCGTGGGTCACCGGCGTTGCGATTTGGGGGATGTTTGTGGCGGCCGCGGCGGCCGCGGCGGCGTTGGAAGCTTGCAAGAGCTCCAAAGCCGCCAGCTGCAGCGCCGGGTGCTGAGTCAGCGGATCCTGCGAGCACACAGCGGTGCAGGTGACAAAACGTGCGCGACGCTGCGAGTTGGCACGCGAGGGTCGCTAGGGCTCGTGAGGTGTGAGGACTTGGCTGGACGGGTCTAGCGCTGATGCGGGGAATGGCGCGCGGCAAGGAGAACGGCAGCGGCGGCGTTTTGCGGCGCGGCCAGAGGGGCAGGAAAGCCTCAGGCGACGAACCTGCTGATGCGGGCAGGTGCCACGGCAGAAGCTGCCGAGGATAGGCGCCCGGCTGTTAAGCTGTCCGGCACGCACCCGCTGCCGCAGACACACAACCCACCCCCAAGCCATCTCCAATCCCGTCACAAATCATCCGACCTACAACAACCATCCAACCTACGTGAACTAGCAAACCAACGTGCAACCATAGGACCCATTCAAACCATCCGACCCACATACACCGTCGGACCCACCCCCGGGCCCAGCAGCTTGGCGATGCTGTCTAGATGGGCGTCCGCCGCCGCCTCAGGCAGCCACCTGCAATACCACCTCAGCGCCCGCAGCGCCGCGTGCCGCAGCAGCAGCGCCTGCGCCCGCCGCCCCGCCGGCCCCGCCGGCGCCGCCGCAGCGGCGTCGGCGGCGTCGCCTTCAGCGTCGGAGGTCGGGGCAGGCTGCTTGTCGAGTGTTGTCATCAGAGCCACGATGGTGCCGGGGTCCGGCAGCCGCGCCCTGAGTGCGCCCCTTAGTCGCCGCGCGAAGCCCGCCCACGACGCGCGCTCTTGCGCCGCCGCCGCGCCGCCGTCGCCGTCGTTCGATGCCGCTTCTGCTCCCGCCGCCGCCGCCGCTGCGGAGGCCGAGGTCGCGCGCGCCTCGGCCAATTCAAAAATCGTCTCCAGCGCGTCGAGGCAGTGCTGCAGAAGTGTGAGGGTCGCGTGCTGCACCAGGCGGCTGCCGTGCTGGATGCCGCGGGACAGCAGCGCCTGGTGACGTCATCGGGTGTCAGCGGTCGAGCGCACGCGCGGGTTGGGGTTGAGGGCGAGCGTTGAGGGTGTCAAGGAACATGCTTGTCCCAGGATAGAAGCAGTTCGGTCGGTCATTTACGCAGCTGCCGAGCCATGTGCCAGCCCTGGTGTGTTGCAGCCAGCAGCCCCTGCCCCGCAGCCGCCCCGACGCCCACCTTCGGCGCAGCCTGCGGCAGGCACCGCCGCAGCGCCGCGCGCACCACCGCCGAATCCGCGCCCGGCGCCCCGCCGTGCCCGTCGGCCGCCGTCAGGCGCTCGCGCAGCGCGCACGGCGCGCGCGCCGCGCCACGGACCAGGCAGCCCGCGGCCGCCGCTGTCGCGACCCACTTCGCGTCCGCCCGGGGCTCTAAGTCAAACGGCAGCGCCGCCACCATCCTCTCCGCCAGCCGCGGCTGCGCGGCGGCCGCGGCGCGCGTCAGCCGCGCGTGGCCGGGGCTTGCGCCCGGCTGCAGGCGCTGCAGCAGCCGCAGCAGGCGGCGCTCGCCGGGCGCGAGGCTGGCGGCGTCAGGGCCGCGGGGCGCCGCGCCGGGCGCCGCCTCGGCCGCCAGGCCGTAAGAGGGGTCTGTCAGCAGCCGCGAGAGCAGCTCGTACGCTTCTTGCGCCGCGTCCGCCGCGGTCGGCGCGCCGGCCTCGGCGCTGGCTGTGCCGTCCTCGCGCGGCCGCTTGCGGCCGGCCGGCTGCTCGGGGGCTGGCTGCACAGCCGCATGGCCATGCTGCTCATCACCGCCCTCTCCCTCCTCTTCCTCCTCCTCCTCCTCCCCCTCCTCTTCTGCACCGCTGACGCTCTCCCCATCCTCGTCGCTCCCGCTCCCACCCCCGCTCTCGCCGCTGCCGCCGCCACCACCAACCAAAACCACCTCCGGCAGCAATTGGTGCGGCGCCTGCAGCCCCTCGTCCCCCTCCACACCCCCATCC